ATTCTTTGACAAATAGCAAGTAAAAAAGAAATCTTTTGAAACCTTACAAAATGTCTTCACTGTGACATCTGATGAACTTAATGCATTAATGCTGACAATATTTCTTTAATAAAATACTGATCACAAACTTCTGAATAGTAGCGTAATTATAGATAAATACATGGCCCAGATCAAATAATCAGCCAAAATGAGGCAATTTTAGGTAATGCCAGAATAGAGCCAGATTGCACAAATAAATACTTAGCTGTTGGTTAATAATATCCATCAGCCCACATCAGTAGAAAAAGGAAAGATGTTTTCAGAATTGACTTTAAAGAATTCAGTTTTTGTTGTTGTTGCTAACATTCTACTTAAATACTACTACCACAACGTTTTATGTGCAACATCAAGAACTGGAAGGTTCACAATATGTGCACTAACTACAATTCTGATTTCACATTGACCTTAATATGCATCTGCATGTGCTGTCAGTTCTCTTTTTGTGACCGGCATTCAGTAAAATTGGCATTACCTTATGAGAAAGCACTAAAAAGCACTCCCGGATCGGCTGTCCTTGATTGTGGAAAAGAGTAAGTCATCAGTCAACTCTGTTGCTGTGCGCTGGGCTAGATAAGCTGAACGTGGAAGAAAAGCTCCAGTGGAAATGAGGCAATCTGCCCCCATACAGCTGCAGCAGGACTGTGTGGTTCAAACGGCCACCTGTGTGACAGGCCGGACACGAGCCACCTGACCGGCACGGCCCACACACAGCTCATCTTCCACACTCCTTCGAGAAATTAAAGCCTTTGGTTCCCTCACAGTTGCCCGGCTCAATCCTCCTGTCAGGATTTGATTTCTAACACTCACTCTCTCATGCGTGATTGAAGACCTGTCCGTCACGTCGAACGTCAGATGTCAAAACCGAGTTAAGATGCTTTTGAAAGCATTTAGCATTAAAAATACAACTAAATGAGTCGCTTTAGCAAGCACAAAGCTTTTATCTCACAGATAAAGCTCAAAAAGAGAGTTCAGATAGGGTTTACACAAGAGATTGAACACAATTGTCCATCTGGCATTTCATACAGAAACCCTGCTTTCGTGATTTATCCTCCAAAAAGCACCAGTTCTCCACTGGCATAAACATTTGGGCTATTTATGCGCTCTAATATCAGACTAAACCCTATACTTTGCTCTTGGCTCGCAAACACACATCTGAAGCAGTGTCGGCCTCACCTTTCAGCTTCATCTCTCCAAACTTGATAAAAGGTCTGAAATCTAAACTTCCTGTCATTTAGAAAGAGCAAACAAGAAGCGAAAAGCGACGGAGGCAATCCGGCAGACGTTTCCACCTGTTCGTGACAGAATAAATGCCAAAGAACTGGAGAAGAAACCTCTTATTATTGAGAAGCAGCCTCTCGTGGGGACACTGACAGCCTTATCAGGTGTGCAGCAGAGATCTTGCCAACAAATCCTTTCTCTGCCGTGAGATCTACACTCTGCCTGTGAATGAGAAGCTTAAAGGGTCTCTGATGGTACATCAAGCAGACAGAACTTCCATCAGAGGAATGCATATCAACTCACCTACAGCTCGAGCAGATCTGTAGTCCTTGAACATCATGTGTTAAGCAGACGCTCAATGTCCCGGTGACGGCACCCTGTTAAGAAGACAATATAGGCTTAGCTGCGTTCGGACGTTAAGGGGACTGAGGTGTCTCTATGAAACAGCCTTGTGGGTATATATCAGTGAGAAAAAACAGATGACTTTTCATTAGCATAGTAAATGTCTTGGAGAAGGCAATCTAAATTCAGCGAGAAACAAATATACAAATAAACCCAAAATATCCATAATGCACAGCAGTTTAGTAGTCAAAGTCGCCTGGGATCATCTGATTCAAGAATAGCCAGAGTCCAAAATTAACTGTTTACTTCAGCTCCTGATAGCGGATGAGCTGAGTTTATTTACCAGGCATAAATATTTCTTCCCAGGCCTGAAACTGCATTTTGAATTTTTATTAAAAATGTTTTTTGTCCCTCATGACAATGGAATTATCTAGCTGCTTTTTCTTGCATATTTGTGGCAGCGCAGGTCATTGTGTCACTCCTACAATCTCAGTCTTTCAGCGAAACAGCACCCGTCATAAAAACTGTGAAGATTAGAATTTTGATTAGAATTTTGGGTCTTATAATTTTGCGTCAGTAGCTTAAAGGGATAGTTCACCCATGATTTACTCACCCTCAAGTCATCAGTCCAAAAGAAGTTAAATAAAGCGCATCCATCCATAATAAAAAGTCTCTCACACCACTCCGGGGGGTGAACTAAAGCCTCCTGTAGCGAATTGATGCATTTTTGTAAGAAAAATATCCATATTCAAAAATAATCACTTTAATCTAGCTTGCGCCAATAGTTGTACACAGAAGCAGCTCCGGGCGGATGACGTAAGATGTCTTTATTCACCCCCCGAAGCAGTGTGAGGCACTTTTTTTATTGTGGATAGATGCGCTTTATTTAACTTCTTTTGGACTGATGCATGAAACACCCGCTGACTGCCATTAAACAGCTTGGAAGATCAAAGACAATTTTTTATATAACTCCGATTGGATTCATCTGAAAGAAGAAAGTCATATACACCTAGGATGACTTGAGGGCGAGTAATTCATGGGCTAATTTTCATTTTTGGGTGAACTAACCCTTTAAATGTGAGGGACATTGCACAATATGTGTTGCCAAATGGTGTTCTGGAGTTCTTTTAGCATCCTAGATAAGCATCTGGGACTGGATTTACAAAATCAAATCATTAAAATTATTCTTAACTGCTTTTTTTTCCTAACAATATTAGTCAATAATGTTTTGTATTCACTAAAACATTTAAGAATATTCATAACTTGCTTCTTAAGACGAAACTTCAGAAAAATCTGAATTCCTGAAAATAATTTTCTTAAAAACCACTGTAAATAACTTCTTGTAAAACTGTAAAAATTGACGCATAAACTTAAATTTGTCTCACATTCCTAAAGGCAGCGATGGGTTGTAACTGATGAAATGTAAATGACCAATCAGCGCTGTGTAAGAATCTGCTCAACAGCGCTCAAATGTTAGCGGGAAATAGACGTTTTAAAAATGTCAGTACCGAATGATATCGCAGTTGGTACTTTTGACAACACAACTCCATCTTAAACAAGCTGATAACTACTTACACGGCACGGTAAAAAAGTGCAACACGCAAAATGATGTTTGACTCCCTTCAAGCCATTTCTGACAAAAACCATTTGTGTGCCATTTTTTAATAGGTAACCTGTCGACGGTGCAAAATGATGGCAAGGGTGTTTATCGAGTTGATCAGCAGGTCTGTGGCCAAAACCGCCATACAATCAGACAACACCAAGCCTGTCATTTTCATCTTAACACAAGATGTTCTAAAGAAAATAATACAGAATTTTTTCAGGAAGTGCACTTGGCAACATCTTAGAATTTATCTTTAGAGATAATGTAATTATCTCTAATATATCTCATAACGATCTATGTATTCGAATTAAACAAGCAACTTCCACAAATGTCAGATTTAAACCATGTAATATTGCAGTTAAAGGCCAACTAACTTACTGAAGGCTTGAAGAGTGTAAATTCCAACCTGTGCTACATTTATGCTTTTCAAACTATGACATTAAATGCATAAAGGACATTAACATTATGCATCTTTGTGTTTCAAATCTGCAATCGCATATCTAGGTTTCATTCAGATCTATAATTGAAATGTCAGAAATCACGAGTGCCGTCTTTCATCACTTTGGTCTGTGAATGCTTTGATTCACAGATTCATAGACAGAGCACCGTTCTGGAAACCTATTATATTATGAAATCAAGAGTCAGCCAATAACACAATCAAAAAACAACCTTGTCTAGATAGGAATGAGTGTTTTGCAGTGACTGGTCTCATGTACTCTGGTCAATACAGAAGCGTGTGAGTCTTGAGAGAGTTTGTGGAAACAGTCTTCCTCAAATAGCGGTAAGTCCAAGATCCACCTGTCACTTCCTCTTTGACCCTTCGCCCACAACATGGTAATGAACTCTAACCTCTTGACATTTGTCCGAGTCACCATTTGCCCCCGAGTCTCTGGCTGGCCAGACCTAAATCACACTGCTTTTATTAGAAATATCCAATTTGAACTGAACAAACAGCACCACAAAAAAAAAAAAAAATTAAAAAGATAAATAAAGTGAGAAGAAAATAGATGAGAATGTCTAAATGGAATATAAATAATAAATATAAATAAACAGGTTGCAGCACATATTCAACTGCAAGTTTAAATAATGCAAGATATGTTGATACAATAACAATGTGTTTAAAGAAAAGAAACAGAAGTTTACTTTGAATTAAAAGCTATTTTTTTTGTGCAACCAAAATAGATTTCATGTATAATGTGGGACTTAATCATAAACAAGCCCGAAATGCATTTGGACTTTCAAAGGTCTGTGCTTTATCACTCCCAGATGCTCATTCAAAAAAGATGCAATTTTACAGCCATACTAAATTAAAAATGTTGATAATTCATCAATAGTAGATCATAGTAATCACTTGGCATAATGGCTCTGTATTCACTGACTGCAAAGCTCTCTGAAACAACAAGCTTGTAGAACGTGTAACCGCGCAGTGATTTTACTTTAAACGTGTAATGCAACCATTTGTTTCATTACATCATAGCCTTCTGAAGTGTAATAATCATAAGGGCATATTGCAATTCTTGTTTTTCCATCGCAGAATGTAAGACTTCTTAAAATGATAATTAAGACTTATACCAGTTAAAATATTTAAGACTAGTGAACTTTTTATGGGTTATCAAAAAATGTAGGGCAGAGACTGTTGATTGGATGTTGAGATGTGGAGGCAGATAAACATGAGCTTGCAGTGGTGGGTTTAAGCGGACTAAATTATTGGAGAAGTCCTGCATGACAAAATGGCCATGTACATACTGTAAAGTTTCAGGAGTGACAGCTGCATTTAAATATGAGAGTTTTGTGTATGTACAGAATGAACCTCACTCCTGAAATTGCGATGACTTACACCGATTATCGGTTTGCCATATTAATCGGCACCGATAGTTGGAACAAACAATAGATTTTATTAAATGTAATTATACAGCACGAGAGTGGCCTCTAGAGGCGGAATCACTGACGCCTCACGCTGTTTGTTTTGACAGGTGAGGTTGCGCGCAGCACGAAGCAGGAGAATTCAGTTGCGTATTTAAAACAGACAACAAAACGGTTTGTATACAGTATATTACAGTACGTTTTCATATCATTATAAAATAATTTGTTGATTAGGTGCTGCATTAGTAGAAAAAGAACAGCAGTAGGCTATGTTGGCAGACAGAGAGGACACTAACATTAGCAGTACTTCGAACGGTTAAAACAACGTGACAAATACATGCAAATTCAACCCAAATGTTTGATTCAATCGATTATGTTACCATGTTGTTATGTTACCATCTTTTTGTATTAGTTTGTCGAGTCATAATAAAAATTATTTTGTTCAGACGTAAACAAACTATACTAGACAACACAAGCTGCAGGAGTCAGATTCGACTGATCACAGGTATAAGAGAGTAAGGAGAGATGACTGACAAGACCACGGTGGAGGATTTCGCTCAACAGATCCTGAGCTCACGGACAAATATCTGATCTTATAAATTGCGCTCCGCTTACACAGAGTACGTGTGACCAAGGAAACAAAAGTGAAAGTGAACAGCGAGCGCTCATTCAAAAGCAATTTCAATACCCTGCATATTAATAGCGACTCCCCGATGCGCGAAAATGATATATAATATTTAGTGGTCGACTGATATCTCGCCAAGGCCGATATATCGGCCGACATTTGACATTTTTCATTTATCGGCATCGGCCAATAAGCTTTTCTGTTTGGCCGATGCGTTCGAGGTGGGACATTTATTTTGACGGCACTGAGAAGAACGGCAGCGCCTGAACACACAGTGCTCACATTCTCCCTCTTGTTCGCTGTCGTCGTTAACAGTTCTGTCTAATACGGATAGAAGTCTGTCTAATAATCCAATAGAAGGGTTAGACAAAGGAATTAAAATACAAAGTATTGTATAATTAGAAAGGCAAGAAACATTAGAAAGGCAAACATTATAATACGTTCTCATTTGCTGTCAGCATTCAGCAAATACACATTTATATAATTTAAACAAATCTTTGAATGAATAATGAACATTTAAATTTCACAAACTTTGCAAACTTGTGAGATCGTGTGAAGTGTGCATGTATTGTGTATTCTGCATGATCACCTGTTCTCTGCATGACGGTCGGTCCGTGTGAATTGAATGCGGACAGGAGGAGAGTTCAGCTTGACTGGAGACACGCGATCGACAAACTTTATGCCCGTCATATTCATGTAATTTTCACTGTGTGTTGTATGTAAACTGAGTGTTACCTTGGCTTTATTTGAAAAAATATGATTCCCAATGCACACAAACTTCCCAGAATACTGAGTGCCCTGTTGGTTACGGTGTTTACTTCCTTTTTAATTATATTTGTATTAAATATTTATTAAAAAAAGCCGTTTGGAATTCGCTGACGGTGTAAGTCAGAAAAAAAGTAAATATTAAACATATGCATGGATGAATTGCTCACAGCAAGAACTAAAA